CAGCACGTTTCAAAAACCGGAACCAGTGTCGCAAGACACAAAGGTATCATTCGTATTTGCAAGTTCCATGAATAGTGGAACACGTGTACTGGGAATCGCAATAAAGTATCGGTGCATAAAAAGAAGACGTATTAAGTTATGTCACCTGTGCATCGATATGCACGCCCTAGTGAAAAACCGCGTGTTATGGAATAATTTAACACGTTGTGCATGTATGACCGTTGAAAAGTGCATTGCGATTTCCAGTTATCGTGGCCGGTGTTTTCGTTGCCACTGGCAAAGAACGCATACGGTTACGTACACGGGTAGAGTATTGAGACATACTGGTGTGTACTCACGACCACTTTAATGGAGTGTGAGCGTTAAATGCAGGGAAGGTACTACTGTGTTTCACCAGCATGTACTGTGTATAAACATATTTGTATGGTAGACGTATATACTCAGAAGGATTGAGTATTTGTATTCTGTCCATTAAAAAGGGCAGGCCCAGAGTTGTCCATCTACTACTTATGCGCAGCATTCTTCCCCTCCGGAGGTACCCTCACTATGGGACTTGGATTGACTCGTTCGAGTCAATCTGAGGTCGGTAGTCGGGGATATCTACGAGGGGAAACCTGTAATTGCTTCTAGCTCGTGGGTGGCATTTGGACACCTTTGGTATTAGAGTTAATTTTTATGATAATTAGTATGTTAATAAAAATTTTATTTCACCCATTAGTGTCTTAATTATTATTTTCAACAGTTATACCGTCATTTGTAGATAAATAACGAAATTAATATAACGTAAATTTATTTACTATTTGAATACAGTATATAATATACCAGTTTACTGTGAAGTACTTCAAGATTAATATTTGTCTTCATTAATATTTGTCTTCATTAATATTTGTCTTCATTAATATTTGTCTTCATTAATATTTTTAATACTGTATCTACAATTGTACATTAACAATTTGTATTAAATTATATCACAAATGCGTACTACCACGTTACTCGACGACAGAAATAAAAATTGAGTAGTGTATTTTGACTGATGTATGAGACGTGACAGGCATGTACAAGAAGGCGTTTCGCGACGGATAGATTTTTGCGTCAAAGTGACATAAAACATAAAACAAAGATCAGTATATGAAGGTTTCTCATCAACCGAGGATTGTCATAAAGCCGAACGGGTTTAAAAAATAACTGCGTTATTTGAACATTAGTTTCCATGAGTATGGCCAGGTTATCAGTCAGGGGGAAGCAATGCAATTTTTTTCGTCCAGGGGGGGGGGCAAGTGCCCCTCCTGGCTACGTCCATATTAGTTTTAGTTTCTGCGTTGTGTTTAGTTTAAGTTGTTCAGTGTGAATATGTAAATATTATTGTAAAAGGGGGATAGATGTGGAACGCATGTGATTCCATTTATCCTCCTTGGGTCTCCATTCGCAGCAACCTCCTCGTGGTGAGGCCTGGGCAATCGGTATTATCATCGGTAAAGTACTGTAAACTGAAGGTAATACCGAGCTAATGGCTGCGAACTTAAAATTAATTTCTCTAGTTGTAAGAATGAATGTAAGATTCTATGTTACACGAAACTTAGAATATTTTAAGGCTACATATACGACAGAAAATCTTTGTTTATTATAAGGATACGTAAAATAAAAATTTGTGTTTCAATTGCTTTTTCATAAATATTACTTACTTATGTGTGACAATGCAGAATAGAAGTATACTATTTGTATTTGAAAACATAAGCCTTTGTTGTCACTGTTATACTGTTGTATTAACAATGGAAAAATAATCTATTTCAATTAAATTTACGTAATAATATTAACGTGTTTATAATAGCAATATTAATCGTTATTACTTTCTTGTACCCAAAAAAAAAAAAATAATAGTTCTGGCAGGACTACAACACAAAACGTCTTTCTAATACGTTTACTTTTCAGCGAACGAACAGAAGAATTTGCGATCATGGTTCCTTCGGTGATTTTCGAAGATATTGAGCACTCAAAGTTACTGAACCATTTTTTATAAAGCACGTATGATTGAACAGTAGTTTCATTTATTCTTGTTTATTGAAAACAATGTAAGCAATAGTGTGAATAAAATTGTACCGTACAAAATGATTAATAACTAAATTTGCTTAGTTATCTTATTTATGTAGAAAAGTGTAGAAAAGCACAGGTTAGTGATTGCAACAAATAATGTGCTGGACGACAGAGTGGGGTGCGCGCACGTGGGTGAGAAATACGTGTGAGCGAAGGGTGTTCCTAAGTTGCAATAATATAGTCTGCAATAAACTGAGCGCCTACTGTATGACGCCATACAATCATTTTAGAAATCGGCAGCTGCCAGTTCTGGAAATTCTAAAAATTATCAGATACATCATTTTTATTTATCACTAATTTCTTTTTCATTTATAAAGTATTCAATTGTTATGAATTAAAATTATTTACAATTTTTATATGATCACATCATGTAACTGTTCTATCAAGTCTCTTTTCTAAACATCGAACAAATCTTAAAATTGTAAAATACCATTAATAAAAGTGTAAAAGCACCAGTACCTGGAAATATAATTTTAATAAAGACATAGTAAAAAGAATAATACATTATACGTATAAAACTAACTATAACATTAAAACTTTGCATTGATAGGTTGCAGATATTGATTTATGGCATATTATTTGATATATTTTTACACTAATTACTAACACGAGAACGCTGTATTCAAAGTGACAGATCACTAATCAAATTTGCAGCATTTGCTCGGCAATGAACATAGAAACTACCAATTGATATTTAACTTATTCAAAATTTGAGTTTCAAATGTTACAATTGTATTATATAATATGTGATAGTGATAATGCCCTGTGCATTATAATATATAACTTTTGATCACAATAATGATATAACAATAGAGGATTACCAATCATTATGAAAGTATTACCTCAAATATTGCAAATGCAAGTATTTCCTTCATTGCTTTTGCGTGTAGTCTGTACAATGAAATCAATTATAATACACCGATTATTTTGAATAGTAACACAAAATATTAAACACTTCGCTCAAATATTGATTGTTAAATATTTTAGTATTCTAATGATTAATTGTAAGTATGTACTCGATACTACGCTCATCAAGTGATATTTCTTTTCTGTAAAATAAAAGATTCTATCATTAGAGATACTTGATCTTAGTTTCTTTAGAACATTCTGTTTTAATTATTTTATCTAGTTGCCTTTTTAAATTTGTTTATTAATACTAATCATGAAACATTCGATCATTAATAAGTTTTTAAAAGTAAATTAAGATAAACTAATAATTGGACAAGATACCTGAAACCTAGAGTATTCAAGCAATAACTTGATTTAAGTGATTTATATCGTGTCATAGTTTCTAATTATCGAATATCTCTGTGAGCCATATTTGAAAATAATTTCTCATTTAAAAATCAGTACAACTAAATTATGCGCATGCGTTCATTTAGTATGCAGTATCGAAAGATGCGAAATATAAATATTTGCTTTATAAAATTACATGAATGTTGTAAGTAAACCACTTAACACGTTTGATGAAAATTATACTTGAGTCATTTAGTCTGTACTTATTGATTGTCCACATTAGGACTTATTTCGACAAATAGGCTATTTGTGCTTTGAGAAGAAAGTATTCCCTTGTCGTTAGTTTGCGATCATGATTATTTTGTTCCTTCTTGCACAATAACTACGCAGATCCATTCTTCTTTTGCAACTTCTGTCTTTCATTGAATAAATTCTTCATATCAGCTAGTGCTCTTTGTATGTGTTTTGCAAATCGATTAGCATTCTAAGGGCAAATATGAATAAAATTTTAGTTACTAGTAAGATTATAGAAATAGTAATGGTCACGTGTCACGTGTAAATAGTTGAATGCATATCCTTACAGTTTCTGGAGAGCTAACTTTGCAGGAGATGTGGAAAAATATGAGGTTTTCTCCAGCAATTATGTAGGAAACACCATAACCATCATCAGCAACAGGGCCAAAACCACCGCCTGCAGAAATACAGTTAGGATACTTCTTCAAATTTATTAGCGACGTTTGGCCATGTGGGGTCTGTGAAGTAGATAACTTCCATGGCTCGCTTAAGACCTCCTGCAAGAAAAAATGATTAAATACGTTCTTCGATCAATTCGTACAAGTGTACTGTTAAAAAGACTACCTTCAAAAAAGGAGAATCCACTTCTAAATATTTCGATACTACATATAAACAAAATAGGTGTCTATCTATTCCTTTACCACTCATAGCATTTTGATAACCCTTCTGATGCTGCTTTGCAGCAGCCGTCAGTAATTTGTACTTATGTTCTACCTGTAACAGAAAATCATTTACGAATTGAATACTAATTTCATAGAATTTCCAATAAAGGTAACAAACTGGTCTATAACATACTTTGAAGTATCTAACACAAATAAACAACACAGTGATTAATCACGCTAAATATTTTTCATGAAGCGTGTTACAGATTAGGCACATTAATATTTGGGGAAGAGAAGGGTGGCATTCAGGTGAAAATGAATTATATACCAGTAATTTTCCAGATAAACTTTTCGTCTTAAAATTAAAATATCTCTAACAAAAATGAAGTTTTCGAGCTGAAATTTTTTGCAGTTTACGTATGTGATAGTGAAGAAATAAGGGTATAGATTTTACAATGAGATCATTTTTTCAACATTTTTTCCTATTATGGATAAAGTTCTTTTACAAAATTAATGTTTACATAATTGAATTCAATGAAAAATTGAAGAAATTTCTTTCAATGAAAGAATGAAAAATGACAGAGAAAAACGTATTTTCCAAATTTTATCTGGAAAATTACTGTTAACTGATTTTCGCCTGAATGCCCCACTCCCCTTAAATATATGTATTTGATAACAATCCTAAAATTAATAGAAGAAAAATACTGTTTTGAGTTTTTTCATTACTTACAGTTGCATCATTATCATGCATTGCTTTCACCCACTCAGTAGATTCAATTGTACATGGTCTCACTGTTTCCGTTCTTCCTTCACGGAACAGTCTGGTCATGGAAGCTTCGTAAGTTAAATTAAATTTATTTGAATCACGGAAGTACGCTAATTGAAGAGCCATTTGTATGTATGCATCAGGTGACATCGAGTTGATTTTCATGAAACCTTTGCCATAATCATCATGCACATAAATGCGCAGGTCGACGTCATTTAATAACTTTTCAGCAATCTAACAAATGAAATAATAACTTGATAAAATTGTTAATAGATTTGAGAATAATTTTTACATTCGTTATCATTTGTTCTAATAAATGCCAATTATTGTTTGATTCATGTGTTAACGAATTTTGATTTTTAAGTATTGAAAATTAAAGATTCAATTTACTTGAGCTGACTCTTCAATAGCATCTATACAGCCTTGAGTTAAATCCCATTGAAGTCGTGTTGGAGGTGGAGGTGTGAACTCTGGTTCACCTTTGTTATGCCCATCTTCTGTGTATCTGTAATATATATATAAACTCTTTAAAATATAAACACATAGCAATCTTACATGGTGTATACATGTACACAAATGTATGTATGAATTCAGTTTTAAATGACATGTATGAATGCAAGGGTTCCTGGAACAGGTGTACTCTTAACAAAATATAGTATGAAGGGTAAAGTGAAGGTTCAGCTTGCAAATATTTTGTTAAATAGATACTATTAAAGAAACAAACGGAGGTGTCAGTGCCTGTTATATGTTTATATAAATAGTATATAATCTTAACTGATAGACTCCTATAATTCAATGTTTATGTTAGGAAATAATTATTCTAGATAACTAATGAAATACAAATATCACTTTCTCTACAGAGATTCTCCCTTCCAAGAGCATACCCTACATGAAAATGATCTAATCGAATAAAGTTGAAGTTAAAGTTTATAAAAAATAATAATTATTATAAATAACATTGAAACACTGAAGTTTTAATGAATTAAATTCCAACATATTCCAACACTTGAATTGTGTGCAAATGTTGTGATTGAAGTGTAGGAATAAATGTGTACATATATACTCGAATACACATAAGATATATAATTTAGCACAGAATATAATGTATAGAAGTTAAATTAAAAAGGGAAAATGTGTTATGTGATGCAAAAGTTAGTTTGAGATGAGCGGTTACAATGTATGAAGAGCTTGTGATGTTAAAATATATAAGAAATATTAGAAAAAAAATTACCCCATTTTCACCTCATTACCGATTACAAATTCCCATAGAGATCCCATTATAGGAGCATCAGCCCTAACAAGCACATTGTAAATAAAATTATTTAACTATTACAGATAAAAGAAATCATTTGAATACAGTAAATCAATAAACAGGCATACGAGGTGTAACAAGAAAGTATCCAGAATAATTCATTTAAAAATGTTATTTTCAAAATTAAACATATACGCACTCCAGGCGTTGGATACATTGATCATAACATTTCTGGTATCTGTTTTAAGAACAATTTTGTTTCCGTCAAAGTGGACGTAACTTCACGGATATTATTCTCGGAATTTTATTGCCACGCTTGAACTACAATGCGGGTATTAAAACAGATACCAGAAATATTACGCTTAATGGATTCGACGCCGGAGTGCGTGTGTACAGTCTCAACTACTTTAAAGGTGATGGTTTCATTTTGTATGATATTTAAAGTAACGTTTTTAAACGAATTATTCTCAAAACTTAATTATCACATCTGGTACAAATAACACAAAGAGATGGCAGACATTAACTAAACCTTCAAAGATAATATATTTCAGAAAATATATTTTAAAGAACAGTATGTTTATAACTAAAGTATACTTATGTACACAAGTGATTATACATATTTTGTAAGTATACTTTATATCACGATCAACTTACATTAATCAGTTCAACTGAACATAATTAAAAGCTAGAAATAAAAAAAATTAAATACAATCTTTGAAGGTCGTGGTTTACACATGACTTGTAGATAATATATTATAGTAGGCCTTCTTAGGAAGAGTAGAGAAGGCAAGAGAAGCAGAAGAAACAGTGAAGAATTCAGTGCATTCTGTAGCTAGACTTAGATTCTTACTGTCTATTGCTGGCTTCTTGAGACATGACGTACTCCCATAAATGTGACATCACTGCAGCGTCTGCCCTACTCATTACTTCTCATTATATATCGATTTCAAGGTAATCTATTATAATTTTATAGTACTTGTTTTGCCAACATACATATTATAACACAACTGCCGATTAATGAATATAACTACAATGCCGTATCGACTTTACTAACAATGAGAATGGTTTATATTTTACTATATATATAAAAAACGTAAATGTTATACGTATTTTTCGTTACGAATCAACTGCTTTTCAACCATCTGCTTGTCTTATACATTGTTTTTTTATATCATCTGACATAAATTTTAAAAATTTATATTTTATGTAAGAGAAACTCACCACGAATGTTCAGCATTAAAACCAATCTGTAAACGACAGTGTTTCAGAATTCTATTTTACATTACATTTAATAAGTATTCATGATACCATTACTTACTCTTCCATTGTTGCCGATGCATAGAGTAAAAGATTTATCAAACCATCTGTCATATCCTTTACCATGTAATAAAATTCGACCATACTGATCTAACTTCTCTGGATTTGCCTAGTAATGCATAAAATCATTCTGTGTATACACTAATACTTGAAAGGGGAAACTTTTTACAATTTTTATGGTATCACTTACTGGATCATATATATATGGTATGTTATCTAATACGACCACAAATGCTGCCTTCTCGATGAGATCTAAAGACGCCTTATTTACTCCTTTCACGAAAAATTCTTCTCTAGCTCGTGCCCATGTAGGTCTTTCTCCAGCTGTTAATGCAGCTAACTTTTCTTCACCTACCGATGGCTCAGATTGATCGTGTAAAATTTGATGCATCTGACTGTAATATATTATTTGTTATATTTACAGTAGAAAACTACATAATTAAGCATATTTACACGTAATACATAACTATTACCACAAAAATATTTACGATAACAAAAATAGTAAGCTAAATAATACAAACAAACTTTGAAAATCTAGTTTCAAAATAAATTTACTTATGTGTGAAAGCAGAGTATATACTTTAGAGGTTGCTAAGAGTTTCATAGAAAGAATCGTATAAATCTATATACATTCAATTAAGTCCAATAACTAGTGATTTCGTATTAACGCGTCACTAATTATTTTTCTGCATAATAATCATTTTTATGCTTTAAAATGTTCAATTATTTCCTATAATGTATATCAGTCAATGTTATGGCTTCATGATACAATAACCAGTTCACGATTATTTTGCCATTGGGATGTGAAATCTTTACAAGTTGCCGATAATTGTATTAAATGTCTCATTATCTGATAATAAGTAAAATCAACATATTACAAATGACTATACGAGGCAAAGAGTAAATACTTTCCCTTTATCTGTGGCTTTGACCTTAACCGAGTATAGTCATTGAACTCTCTCGATTGCGTGCTACATACATGCATGTTAAACAGAATCGTGAAAAATACACGAGCTTGTAAAAAGATTTAGTGACCTTGTCAAAAGAATTTTAGTAGAATGTTTGACGAAGTCATTGATTCTAAAAAATTTTTCCCGTATACGGCAACTTTTGTCATAATACGTTTGTGCCCCATACATTTTTAATTTCTATGATAAAATCTGTGAAATATATTTATAAAAGTTTTTTTTATTATCATATTGAAAAACCTACTGAAACGTATAATTAGTTATTGTACTCTTACTAACTGTGGAAAAGCATACAACTATGACTGACTTACAGTTCAAGTTCAGAAGGTTGAAGAATTCGGTTTTTGTAATAAATAGGAACTTTAAAGTATCTGCCCTTATGATATACGACAACGTGTTTAGAATCCTGGTAATGAACAATTCTGTCAGTTTCCCGTCCCGGTATTCTTGTAGTATTAAATAATCTTTCATACTGCCATGAACATAAGGGTACCAGACCTTGAACCAGTATCTAGAAACCAAAATAATATTATGTTACATTTAAACATGTTTCTTGTACTATATCTAAATATATAATAAGATCTTTTATACCTCCGTTATACCTTTTAATACCAGAAAATTTGAAATCGTCAAATTAAAGCATACATGACATGTTTTATTAACTTTAATATTTCATAATCCATGTAAAACTATCTCTATTGCCTTATAAAATGTTGTAATTTAAAAATACAACTTCGAAATGAACAGCTGAGATATTATTTCTGTGAAAGTTTATACATATAACAAGAAGTAATTGTATTAAATGTAAGATAAAAGTAATTTACAAACCGGTTCTAGTTCTTGCCATTCGATGAGACGTCGGTATTGCAGACATGAATAAACGACGTTTGCAGCACGAGCAGCTTGCACAGTAGTAGGATGCATGAGAATAGCATCAATGCCATAAAAGTTTGAATTCACCATAATGGGAGATCGCCCGCGTAGATAAACATATTCTTCCCACCAATCGGAAACGTAATTAGTTGCCCACCAAGACTTCAAAATTAGATAACGCTGAAGTTTCACACCGATCCCGTTTTGGAATTCCGTAGCCAAAGTCTCCATCCGAGCATAATTTTCATCGTCCAGTAAGGGTCGAACACTTCGTAGATACTGTTTTAAATAGTTTTAATTAGTTAAATAAAAGGGGAAAACTAGGAAATCAGTCGAGGAAGTGATTTAAATTTGACGATAAACGCGAGTAAATAATTAAATTTGGTATAAAATTACAAAAGTATTTTATAATCTAACCCGTTTCATAGTTTCTTCTACTGATGGTAACGATAGCCGCGGCAAGGATCCTTGAAAACTGTATAACATTGGTTTGCGCCATCCAATTAATAATTTCACTAACAGAGTCCAGATTCTCGTCGTTTTCGAAATTTTATACCCTTTTTCTCTTGATTCATACATCCATCCCTTGTAAATAAGTAATAATTTCAAGGTGTACCGAAGCACATATATCACTACCAACCATAAAAGAAGCCCAACAACAAATGATCCTGCTAAGTGTGTCAGTATTGAAGACCTATTAAAACAAGAAAAAACCAAATACTCAACAATTATGGGCATAATAAAATTTGTACTTGCACGAATTAGAGGAGTAGTGAGTCACATAAAATAAATAGTGGAGCTTACCCTGAAAGGTATGGTACAGTCTTCCCAACAAGGTCATAAGGTATCCTGTAACCTGCGAAATGTATTACAGTCACCAAAGCTATAGTAAACCATAAACTTCTCAAAGAGGCAGGGTATACGCCACTTTTCAGATTGTTCTAAAACCATTGCAATATTGTGTTATCAGACCTTTCTTTGAACAATCAAATATTCAATGAATTAAATGTTTCATATACTTACAAGAAATCTAAAGAATCTTTTTTTCCAGGAACGAACACCCGATTGCCATACTAAATGTAAAACTTCTCTGTCTAAATTAACATCCCATCCTTCGTGAGTAATGGAAAAACTAAATGCTACAGCTGCATGAGCTTCCGCCATGTTGCTGAATATTAACTACAAATCTGAAATTAACAAAGTCTAATTAATGAAACCATAATAATGGAAACATTTAACGAATAAATAGATTTTATTTAATAATATTGTACGAGAAATATTTTTTACGTAATTTAAATGGTTTCAAGATACGAATCAGATGGTGGAAAAAATTATATAAGTGAATTATATAATTTTATACGTAAAAAAACATGGGTGACCTTGAAAAAACCGTTAAAAAATAACATATACAAAATTTTCCGCCATCAGATTCGTATCTTGAAACAATTTAAATTACGTAAAAAATATTTCTCAATTACACACAATGGAAATCTCAATTACAAACAAATGGAGAAGATATTTAGGTCGCCTGTTTTAAGCGGAACACCCTGTATACAGTATATTATACAGGATGTCATGTAACTGATGGTACAACCATGCAAGGAATAATTCTATTGGAAAAAATCGACTTTGAAAATTAATCCGCGTGTATTCTTCGCGCTAATAAATAGAAATGGAATGCAATGAACAGACGCCGTAGCAAAGTCCTATTCAATTAAATGCGTATCAAGCAGATCTTCAAATTCAATAGTCTCGAAGACGAAGTCTCAAAGGAAAAATTGTAATTCTATATTTTCCATATTTTCGACCTATTTTGTCACGTAGAATCACCCTCTACTCGAATGAACCACCAATTACATGACACCCTGTACTACTTTGATAGTAGAGATAGAATTATGAAAATATTAAAATTGTTTGCCGAAGTTACTTTTTTATCAAAATGAACTCTCAAAAGTCATTGTAATTTTTTTTAATTCTTTATGAAACAATTTTTGAATTTAATGTCATCATCACTGTTTTTGTCTCTACTTTGTCTCCTATCACATTGTTGAATTCTATTACATGACACTGTATAAAACTTGTCTGTACAAATAGCCCATACTATATTATTTTTCATTTCACTCCGTTTGGGCTGATGTATAACAAATAAAACTATTAGATAGGTACTTTTGTAAATAATAAGCTCTAAATATTAGTGCAATATAGGCAATAAGTAACAATTATAGTTTAAGATAATATAGGTCTGTTTCTTTTGTTAACACGAGTGTACCCGACGATGCATCATACACGTACACATACATGTGCACGTAGTACAAACACACTGCAACATAGTAGGACGCTTAAAGGGGGACAAAACCGCATATGGGGCCTCCTTCTCACTCATGGACAGTACTGAATTACCGCTTGTACGCTTCTCTTACGTAACCTTGGACTTTGAACGGCATTCGACCGGCTGGAAGAACGGTAATAATTTTAGCAAACAATTACTCGATCTTTCTGCACATTCTAAGCATATACATATGCGCGTTGCGTTTACATTCTACCACAGTATCTATTACAAATTTGATGATCATGTAATCGTATAATCGTTTTCTTTAATAACATGTCTGACCAAAGTCCAGGTACACAAAAATTCTTAACGTTTATCATTTAACGGGGTGTATACACACGGCAATATTTGTCACATTTCCAACTCTGAAGTATCCTTTTAAAATACTATAATGTGTGCTAAGTGATTCAGAAACGAGTTTCTTTGTTATGTTGGAATTTCTTTCCGTATTCCCACGGAATTTTGTGCAGTGTTAATTAACTAGATTTTTATTTACAATTAATTGTAATACAAAGTTTGCAATTTAAACTAATTTTCAATAAATTTATACGAAATTTTTTATTTATTCTGGTATTAGCAGTGCATTCAAAATACATGCACAAACAGTATGTAATTCGTCAATAGATGTAGAATATCAAACCGATGTAGATTTAGGTCTCGTTAATAGTCTGTTACACACATGGTTGGGTTCTTTTAAGAATGTGGCACACGTTGCATTACGATTATCACTAGCGTACACACGTCTAAATGAGTACAGTGATAACATTTTATTTCACTTAGTTCGTTTAGTCTGCTCGATATCGAAGTAAAAGGAATGCACGCAATCTTATCAATGCACACGCATAAACCTACTTGACAATTTGTCAAAATAAAAATTACGTGTTTACTGTTTACATATTACAGTCGATTATTGTTTGGTCCAATTACAATTCTTTACACTTATAAAACACAAGGCTTCTGTTTTTTTTGCAACTATACTGTATTAAAAATATAGTTTTTACTATTTAAAATATAATATGCAATTCTTATGTCCCCATTGCAGCTTCTTATAAATGATAATACCAGTTCTTCTTTTCTAAACCTTTATGTGCTTCTTTCTACATATACATACACAGATATCCAATGATTTTCAGTCACTCGTAGTTGTGCAGTGAATGCTTCGAGTGACAGGTATCATTCAAACCCTAATTGATTCGATTTACTACGACCCTTCATGTTCATTATAATTTTCGTACGGTATCGAAGGGCGCAAATCAATTCACATTTGAAATATGTATTCGGTTACGTGATAATTTAAAAAAATGTACGTATTCGCTGACAAGCAACAGAGACGTATGAATCAATGGATACGATAAAAGAGGGTAAATTGTGAGGATATACAAAAAAAATACTGTACAGTGTAAAGGTACCGAAAAAGGGGGTATAGTGAAAGGTTAGCACGAACCGATATTTCCAAGGTATCGTAACAGCTTAAAAATGCATTCACGTATCCATGCGTGCACGCTACAATTGGTGCTTCTTAAGTAAGGTCAACTAGCCTATTTCCTCCTGCTTTGCAGTTTCGTTCCCGCCGTTTGCAGTTATGCAGCGTGCGCACGTTTCACAGCGCGTCGACATCTTTTTTTTTTGTCCATTCACGAGTCGTATTACTTACACTGGTCACACAGCGTAATGGGCGAGGATCCCATTGAACGAAACACAATTTTAACGGGAAGCGTAAATTAATATTCGAAACGGAACACGATCGGGGAAAGTACAGTTTTTCTGCTCTGACGCAAGCATTTTCGAGTGCATTCCATTTAACGGAGTAACCTTTAAGCATTTGTTTGAACAGTTTCCTGACAAGAAATGCGAAATTCGTTTGGTTCCATGAAATCAACGCAGTCAGATATAAATAACTTTTAATTTACATAAAGAAAAAAGATATTACTTTTAATAAAGTATTTAATTAACACGTTGGTTGTTTTATTGACAAAATAATTTTCAATAGGTTTTACAATTTCATTATATTGTTTGCATTAAGCTAAGAAATTTTGTTTATTATTTTGAAAATATAATTAAAGTTTTGGAAACCGTTCAGCGTCTATGCTTGCATGTTCTTGTCCTTTTCGTTTGACTCGCATGAAATTTCTTGCATGACAGTATAATCATGATTCACATTTATAGTTGACATTTTAGTCTATGACAATACAAATGTCAATGCTAATTGTTTCCACGGAAGTAAATGTATTGGATGCTGAATAAATTAACAGATCTCGTCGGAGTTCATAATGTTCCGTTTACATAGAATAAAATTTATGCAATGATAAATCTGTTCCTGTGGTCTTTGTACCAAATTTCCCTTGTTACGAAGCAGAGAGAATGCGAAAGAAGAAAAACCAGTACGACCACTTCGTCATATTTAATATCTATTATTATTTAGAGTCGATTATGTGACGTTAGTAGCGTTATCATGACTTTTGCTATTATGACAAAATTCGACGATAAGTGCTCGAACAACTTGATACGAATAATCCTATGACACAATTGTAAGGAAATATTTCATTCTTATTGGCCTGTTGATTTTATGCATTAGCAGTGTACACGATCATTTAGAACTCAGTCTAATAAAAACAATTTCAATTTTCTTTTGAAGTAATTTTTATTTGGAATTCATTTTATTTCGAACCAGAAGGAACACTTAACAGGGCGAACGAAATTTTGTTTAATTCTAGTCTGTGCAAATTATTCCATAAAAGTCTGTATTTACATAGTATAAACTATTATAATTAATACGTTTATAAATCATGATACAGTATTACAGTACCTTGAATATTTCAAAACATTTTGCCTGAATTAGTTGAAAATTTCGAATCACGCAAATATTTCTGATCTGATTGTAATTCGTCTTTCATTCTTGAATTCTGCCCTTCTAGCGTAATATTAGTGCGAATTACGTTGATAGTAAATTACAGTGATAAGATTGTATGGTACGGTTTTATAGTTGTTTGTACCGCGTTTGTGGGTCACATGCTACAAGTCTAAATAATTAAGAACATATTAATAAAAGCTTTGTAAAATATTAAACACAAGTATTTAACGCATCTGGAAACAGTAACGCATTTGCCATTTCACAATATGCAAGATCAATCGTCTTTATCTTATCTGTGCATTTCCATGATGTGCACTGTCGTAAAGCGATTCCGATTGGCAGTAATGATTGACAGTAAAGAAAATATATTCCTCGATAAAATGTGTACAAATGCAGCTGAAATGTTGTGAATGAATTCTACATGATTTTTCTATAGAACATTTTTCGTACAATTTTTTGTACTGTGTTTTCACCTGTTTACATTTCATGAATATTCATCGTGTATGCAGTCGAGTCATTAATAAAACGTCATATACCAGTTGGTATTTTAAACTTTGTTCCAAAATGAAAACAGACATAATATTTTCGAACTGTCTTGGTTTTTCTTTAGCCCACATACATAATGCATGAATTTGGAAAGTCTACGTATCCTTATTCGAATACATATTCATGATTATTATAATTATCTCCAACATTGGAGGGAATAAGGAAAATTCGGTTCCAATAAAAGATATTCTGTTTCCATTTCAATAATAACAACAATATTATTCGTTTGATTGTGCATTAAATACTAAATACCGAATTAGAATTGGTGTTTTAATTGTCTAATCGCTCTAAAGGGATGATGAAGAGATTATTATTAAAAGGCTAAAAAATAAAAACGATTGGAATGATAAAACTTATTTTTGCCTATCTACGCAGTTGATTGACTTTCACCGACTATGGTCGTTGACCTCGACCGATTGTGAACCATAATTATGCGTACTGGACAAAACAGGCTGGCTTTATTTCATAACAACCGATTGTTTGCGACGTTAAAAGCTATTTGGCGCTACCGTCGCGTAGTGAAAATAATTTTATCGGAGAAGCATAGAACCTAAAATATTGTAATTCGCCTTTAAACATATTTCAATATTTTTAGATTGTTTCGTCTGAAACCTAACTTTTTTTTTCATTAATCATCTTGCACTTTTAATTCTCTAGTTTACATGCATGGGTGTAAGTAAACAAAAATGATACAACCGAGCAAAGGTGAGTTATTATGAAAACCTAAATTAATATATATGTTTTTCAAAACATTAATTCGTCACACTTTACATGCCTCTTCCGGTACGCAACAGCTTTTCTCGTATCCGTGATCTTGGTCATCGTTAATAACCTGTGGTCACTGAATTCATCTACACATAAATAGATTATAATTTTACGTAGTACACAAACAGGCCTTGAAACCTGGACCCTATCAAGTGCAAGAAATAATATTAACAAGAAAATACGTTTCACAAATATTTGAATTCTTTTTACTATACTATCGATATCTTTGAGAATACTTATTAATTTTGATTTACATGATTATTCGACAATAAATAGGAAATTTGTGATATAATGTTTTCAGTAGGTCTATTGTATCCGACTATTGTTCAATATTTCTATTTGCAATGCATATTGGCGAATTTACGGCGGCACTCGTGTTCCATTGATCTTGTCGCAATGAGTCTTCCGAGTCAAGTCAAAACACAGGACAAACATGCTTATTATTGTATCATGGATATCTGGGTCTATTTACTAGACCCAACAGATGTCTGCCTTGTTATCGGCATTCTTATGTAATCGACCGAAAGACATACCGATAAATACTCTATAATTGTACAAAATATTATTCTACACTATTACAGTAAAATAAGACGTTGACTGTCACAGTGAAAAAGGTCGCACGTAACCAGACACGTTTTATTTCGTTCTTTTAAGTCATAAATCGTCGAAAATATATGCGTTTGAATTACAGAGGCTATTCATCTTGTTTCAAATTATACTGCGATATTACTTTTACGCAAAATTTTGTAACGATATTTAAATAATCCAGCCTCCTTCTAATGCATATGTCACCCATACTTGGGTGACGTGAGTGTTAAAGTGTTAATGCTAAACGCAAATATATTTTATATATCTATATACTCCGTACACACAGATGCTTTCTGCTTGTCCTAAGTGTCTACAAATTAGCTGTGTAGTATTATTTACACAGACACGAAAAGAATATTTTGTATGTAAAACTGATAATACATCTAATTTTTGAAAAATTGAACTATATTTTTCAATATTGTTATAAATTCACTCGTCTAGAATTATTTTTTTCTATGTTACTTTTCATCGATGTGCAAAAAAACTAATTATTCGTGTTTCGTAATGTTCTTGTTTGCTCCACCGCCATTGTATCGTAATCTCCTTAGTAAAAACTCGATCGGGATGAGATATGTAATAGTTTTTATCTGTTATCGTTTTACCAGAAAAAACAGTCTGGGAGCGAAACAGTAATGAAAAAACAATGCAGATATTATGGGAATTAGCTACGGATTATATATTTACTACGTTTCAACCCACCTATGGTTTACAGTAGATAACATATCAATTTTTTTAAATTCCGAAGATAAATCCTCGATACGTAACAACCACGCCTTCGCCTGTTTTTTATTCTGTTATCGGTTCAATGCCTCACTTCAAATGAGTAATCTTTCTTGATCGACTAGCGATCAAAACGTAAACAACTGTATAAAATTGTTGTTTACCCGATGAGACGGATTGTAAATCTGTAGTAAATATTGCATTTCCGAGATTGGTAGTGTGGGTCCTGATTAGTCCGTTTATTGTAATTTCTCGAAAATGAAACATGTGGAAAATATGGAAAAGATTGACACTATAGGCATTGTTGGTTTAAGAGGGTACTCACACCATCTTCGACAAATATTTCGACAGATATTTGATAAAAATGATTACAAATACAGAAGGAACCACTGATCCAGTAAACAGTTGCGTTATACAAATAGAATAACATAAGAATAAATTTCTGGTGGATAGACAAAAGGGTATAAGTCAGAACTATTATCACTGATAAGTGCAATGCAAGATTAGGTGTTAGATTTTGGACGTGAAAGTTGATAACATCTGTCTCGTCCCATTGAACTTATAAAAATATACATCACACTCGATTTAGAAACATTCTTCTTTTTTTGGAAACGATGACTTACATTACTTTGACCAAAATTTGACTTATGTTCTTTTGCCCGTCCACCAGAGAAAAATAGGTGACCATACTGGAACTGTCTCTTTTTGGTTCAAGATTCAGAACTACATAAATAGTCACGTGTATTAAGAGATAGGAATCATCCAATAATTTCACGCCTGAGTAAATGATTCTGTCATTGGAATCATTAAACAAGAAAAATGAATGGGATATAACGAGAGTGAGTGAGATTCCTCAGAAAGGTGTTGGACCAGTTGCTAGCAACCGGTAATCAAACGCGATAAGATCTACATATAGGATATGAATCATTAATGAACATTTGATTATGCATATTATTGCTGATACAATTAAAGAAATATTATCAATTAAGACATTCTCGATGAGAATGAATTCAAAGACGATTTCATTCGGACAATATTTTCAAAATATTAACTAACAAACAGACAGATGAACTTATAGGGAGAAGTTACAAGTAATCATGTGTGGGCTAGAAGTTACAAAATGTATAAAAGTAAATCGACAATTTACTCATTATTATGTATATTTTGAGTGTCTTTTGAAATGAAAAAAAATACTTCGTTGACTCCGTTAGAAGTTTCTAATCATTATGCGTACGTTGAGAAATCTAGTACAGTCGACGCGTATTAAAAATGGTGGTGCAACGATGAGGAAATATTTAACACACAGTAAAGAGCAATATAACGTTCGAAGGAAAATCAAATATGTATGTACATATGCCTTTCTACCCACAGTTATCTTTTTCATATGCGAATTCTTTGTAACGTTTCTCGGTGGTGTAAAAACTTCTAAATGAGAAATATTATTTTGAACAGCATATGTGTAGTTAATGAAAATGTTTCATTCATTGCTTACTTATTTTACGTATTTTTAAAATCATAAAATGTTAATAATAGGAAATAGTACAGATATTCATTGTAGTGTCTAATCCCAACGTAATTCACATAAAAATCTTAACGCAAAGTGAGCTATAATTACAGTATGAATATGTATGCAGAATCGTTGAATTACACGAATGTTAAAACTTCGCGTAATGTAATTTAATACCCAAGAAATTAATGATCGATGATTCATGAATCCTTGAAAAACAATCATAACATGATTATTGAAAAATGCTTTTTAATTTTCACTGTAATTAGCCATGATAGCATACGTAAATACAGTAAATATGAAAATTTAAGGCCAACCACAAAATAATAACTTCAAATAAATAAACATATTTTTTCAATATCAATTTATGTACACAACTATAACTGTACTCAAGGGCACGTAACACTCGTAGTGTGATAGAAACGACTTTTTAAAGTGTAATTTATATTTACATTTATTAATGTTTCAATACCATCATATCGTACATACGTGATATTTACGTTAAAAAACATTTAACGTATCTAATACATATATGATCCTACTGAAACATTTGAAAATAAAGTATTTAACATTGTATTTATCGAAGACAGGAAAAGGAGGGGGGATGAATACAAATTACAGAATGGTATTTCTTTGTATAATAAACAGAACTGAATTTAATATAAAATAAAATCTAAATATTTATAAACGTAAATACAAGGTATTCAATATTAGGTTGTAAGAAGCTTTTAACTAACATATAATGTTTAGGCTTAGGCAATAGATGAAAAACAAGAACTTTATAAACAACTTCGAGTTACTGATATATTATCACCCGGAAGTACATATGCACAAAGAGTATTACGTATTATGGTAAAAAAATATATTACTGTGTAAACAACTACTGATGATCAGCTTTAATGTTTATGCGTGTTTACAATTTTCGAGACTGGAATTTAGTCTTTTCATAAAAAAGCTATCAACAATTGAAGGACATAAAAAAATATACCGTGACCAACGTTTTTAACGTCTGGAATTTATTTGCAAGTCAAACAAAGTGCGATAAAAGAGAAAACCTAAAATCTAGAACATCACAAAAGTTTTGAAAATATAATTTTTTATTAACGTTATTTCATCGTTTCCAAATTCTAGACCATACTATTAAAGTTAATTAAACAATAACGAGCGAAATATATTAAAATGACAATATTTCATTTATGTAATGCATAAGTAGGGCACGTAAATGATTCAGAGTGTTATAACGAATATGTAAACAACATATTTCAATACGTTCCATATGGCATACTCAAACGTGAATCAAAGTCCTTGGAAGTGCGTTTCTAATGCATTTACTAGAAAGCGTGAAACATTAATTTCAAATAACTTTATTCCATTGCACTAACAAATTTGGGAAACAATGTAATTAATTTCCAACACAAAATTACCAAATGCTATACGCTGATATGGTATTATTTTAAATTAAAGACATGAAATTAAAAAAATTTGAACTATAAAACGAATTTTTAGATATACAAGTTCATACGACGACGCAACAACGTAGTCGTAGTCTTTCGTAAAGACCGTCTTAGTCACACTACGCTGCCTTTGTATAAATAAAATGGAAGTCACAGGTTATTAGCCTCTTAGAGTTGAAACGTGCACGCTGATTGGTCGTGCCGAAGGGTGTGTATGGTCGAGCCTCCCATCTTGGATTTTTACGTATAAGTAGGCCAAAATAATCTACTTAGTCGCTATTAATAGTGTACTATTTTCTTACACGTTAATTATATTAATGTGTGAACGTAAACTGACCATTAAATTATTACCTTGCGCGAAAGATGATCCTGCGGTGTACGTGCAAGTGTATTTTATCATTCAAGAAATTACACGGGCCGATGGACGCTGAACGCTTCAATCGTAACACCCGTAACACACCTCCCGTTACACTGCCGCTGCTGCGACTTCGGCCGTAACACTTAACTCACTCTGCTTTTAACTCCCTCTCTTGTGTTCAAAATGCATCGCACAACCAAGTTACCAACTTGTTGGTTGAACTAAACTATAAAGCGTTAGGCGTTAGGCACTTGCAACGGAATCTTGTTACACCTATATAAATACACGCACATTATATACATACTTGTATATACGCTATGTGATATGATGGCACCAAAAAGAGGATTCAACGCTGCACATGCGCAATCGCTATTTAATGAGCAACAAGTTAGTACGTTACGTTGGCACTTTATTACATAAAATGTTACATTAATGTTACATAAATGTTACTTATTTTTGTTAATATATCACTGTTGTTCCTAATATCAGTATTTATCGATGTAGATATTCTGAAATATAAATTATAAAGCATTTCATTTGTTTCATATAGGCGTTAATCATTTCGAACATATCGAAATTTTTTAAATACATGCCCCAAAAACTATGGATTTATTTATTACAATATTTATAATCACATGAGAACAATAGTGCATAATGCTACGGAATATAAATTATATTAACAATGTACAGTTGGTAACACTGAGAAATACGATCTTATGACCTCTCTTTGAAAAGAGATAATTTTCATATAAATATCAAATATGTATATTAATGAGATTATATGTATACTACGTCGTCTTCATTATATTTAATACCGCAAAACTTTTCACGTCAGACGTATTCATTATAACATTATATCAGTTGAAACTATAATTTAAAATTGAAAAAATATAGTCTACATTAATTTCAGAAAGTTGGTGCTGTCCACTTCAGAGTTATCAGTTCAAGAAGTCATTTTGTTCCAGCATAAAAATAATTATATAAAATCATGGATCCCATAAGGTTTGGAATTATAACTGGTAGGTATCTCTTGTAGGCTTGTCTTGAAATAATTCTTTCAAAATTTAATTATAAATTTTATTGTTAAATTATGATAATTAACAGTTAGTGACAGCTGTTTCACGAAAAAAAATAAAGACAAAAGTGGGCCTGCAATAAAAGATTGTATTACTAATGATAAGTATGAAATTGGCCAAATTCTTAAAGGACAAGTATATTGTAAGATCATTGTACCAGATGACGAATTTATATTAAAGGTAAATGTTAAGTACTCATTTATTCATTTCTAAGTATTAAACATATTTTTCTGCAACAACTTCTAATAAGAGCCGTAAGGGTTTTAATGTTCTGTACATGTTTGTCTTATGTAGGAAAATTTAATTTCTTGGTGTGACAATAAACAAGTGGATGTTATTTTAACAATCGGTGGCACTGGATTTTCTGAAAGGGATGTTACTCCTGAAGTAACAAAACAAATTATTCAAAAAGAAACCCCTGGTATTGTTATAGCAATGTTAACTTCAAGTTTAAAAATTACTCCAATGGCTATGTTGTCTAGGTATTTTATATTACAAATTGTGTTCTCCATAAAAGTATCATTTCATTATTTATACTCTTTTGTTGCATATTATTAAGAGCTGTATGTGGAATACGAAATCAAACATTAATTGTTAATTTACCTGGATCACCAAAAGCTGCTAAGGAGTGCTTAACTGTAATTGCACCTGCCATACCACATGCAGTCGATTTAATGAGAGATAATAGAAACAAAATTAAAAATACACATGAACGCATACAAAGTAGTTTTCCTGTTTGTTCACACAAATCTCAAGATAGTACACCTGTAAGGTTCATTTTTCACATTTAAAATAATTCGTTATATTCAGACTATACAGAGAAAAACATTTGTGTAGTTGTGTTTAGGAAATGTAGTTGAACGTTATAGAGAATCACCATATCCAATGATTTCTGTTGAAGAAGCTTTACAAATAATAGGTAAATGCACAGATCCATTAAAATCCATATCAGAGGTAGATGTTGAAAAAGCTCATGGTAGAATATTGGGTAGTGATTTATATTCTAAATACAATTTGCCGCCGTTCAGAGCATCTATTAAAGATGGTTATGCAGTGTTAGCAAGTGATGGAAAAGGCAAGAGAAAAGTTTTAAGTGGAATAAAAGCTGGAGATGTTGTAAGTTATAACTTACTTTAATGAAAATAATAATAAACATAAGTAGTATAATAGTATAATATTCTTCATGTAATTGTTTCATTCTAATGTTATCTGAAAATAAACTGATTTATAGGCTTCTGCAATTAAACTTCAGCCTGGTACATGTGTCAGAGTAAATACAGGTGCTCCTATTCCGGATGGTAGATTATGGCTTGTTATGCATTAAAATACTATTTTTAGCGTTAATCGTAATAATCTTTATTTTTTTATTTTTGTTTTATTACAGATGCAACTGCAGTTGTACAAGTTGAAGATACTAAACTTCTAAAAGGAACTTTAGATAATACAGAGGAGAAAGAAATTGAAATTATGACAGAAATAAAACCTGGGCAAGATATTAGGTACTTTCTTTTTATATTTCGGTATTTAAAAGACAATGTAATAATTACACTTTTTAATTGATTGTAAGACCTATTGGCTGTGATATTAAGAAAGGGGAGTTCATTCTGAAGGCGGGAACAAAACTTGAAGCGGTAGAATTAGGCCTTCTTTCAGCATGTGGTTACAAAGAAGTATCAGTTTTCGATCTTCCAAAGGTTGGTGTGTTATCTACTGGAGATGAATTACAGTGTCCTGGAAAAGTTTTAATGCCAGGACATGTATATGATAGTAATAAAATTACTTTGTTATCGATACTGAAAGAGCATGGCATTAATCCTATAGATATGGGTATTGCACAGGATGAGTAAGTCTATTCGTTAGTAATTTATTAAACGTAGAAAAATATAAATGTTAATTAATTAAATTTATTCTTATTAACGGTTTAGAGAGACTGTCATGGTGAACAAAATTAAACATGCTTTAAATCAAGTTGATGTACTTATTACATCAGGTTCTGTATCAATGGGTGATAGAGATATGTTGAAACCCATCCTTCAGCATCACTTTAATGCAACAATACATTTTGGTAACTGTGATAAGAAAACTATACGATTATAACCATGCGTTTATTAATAAAAAAAAAGTTAATAATACATATCTGTATAGGACGTGTGAATATGAAACCTGGAAAACCAACAACTTTTGCAACATGCTTATTTAAAGATAGAAAAAAATATTTTCTGTGTTTACCGGGTAATCCAGTGTCCGCTACCGTTACCATGTCCTTATTTGCATTACCTGTACTGAAGTTGTTATCTAAGGACGAATCTATGCCTACCATTTTAAAAGCTCAAGTATGTAATATTTTTGTTTATAATGAATTATTAGATTGTATAATGTGTAATATATACATCTGTTACAGTTAATGTCCTCATATATTTTGGATGCACGGCCTGAATATGCTAGGGCAATTTTAAAATGGAATAATACAAAAGACCTACCAGTGGCTTACAGTACTGGAAATCAAATAAGTAGTAAATTACTTAGTTGTAAAAAAGCAAATGCATTGTTAATGTTACCGGCGCGTACGACGGAAAAACCTGAATTACATCAAGAAGACATAGTGCAAGCAATGTTGTTAGGATTGCCACAATATACATAATTAAATAACAGGGATACCGAATAAAGTAATATTATCATTGCAAATGGTCCGTAGATTTATATTTTTCTAGTGGCAAAAATGAAAAGTTTTATATGCGATATGCAGTAACGTTATAAGGTTCTTGAAAAGTTTTGTATACATCTGTATATACATTAGAATTATTTGTCTACACAAAAAGACATTTATTAAATCATTAAGACCTCATTCTTGATGTTATCTAGTCTTGATTGTTGCCTTTCGTTCCATTTTATTCCCAAATTTTGAATAAGATATAACGAAAATCTTTATTCACCTGACGACAGAGAAGCAATTCCATCTAGCGGATACCTTCGAGAAAACGGAAGAGAAAATCTGCTATTTGGAAACGCGTAAGAGGAGGAGTGGGGGAGCGGCGCGAGGAAGAAAATGGCCGACAAGGCAACGGTAAAAGGGCAGGGACGTCGAGTGAGATACGTGTTTTGGGTGAACGAAATGCGGAATCCGTGTTAAGGTTCGCGAACCGAGACAGAAAGTGTTTGGAAAACAGCCGCGTTATTGCTCTTCTCGGTAGTGTATTTTAGTGAAAAGTCATCAGACTAGTCAACTATACTGGTGTATTAATTTATCGTTTAAAAAAGCGTTCGCGGGTCGTGTATAGGAACAAAAGGGCTCGCTAGAGGTAAACATAAATTGTGCATCGTTATTCAGTTTCTTCTTATTTCTCGATTATATTTATGTCTCGAATATACGAATCACTGTTTTCGAAAATATCTTATTCGAGGCTTTCGTAATAGAGTACGAGCCTGGCAGAAATTCGTACGTGACAAATTCATCGATCAGTAGGACTGAGTTTATGTTAGCCACTTGTGGCCATCTACGGATACATTTAAAAGGTATCCTGGTGTCCTTGTCCTTTTAATTTTTCTACCTATACGCGAAAATTGTGTTTCTTTTTAATGACAAATCGGAATATTCTTTTCCCACAAAGTAGGAAGGAAACATAACCGGATATCTGTAATGCCGAATTTCTCTAGTGTGTCTTAAATGATACGAGCAGCAAGTTTAAAGGGATCGATTTGTCAACAAGTCGATGAAAATGCGCGCACTTGACACTCTCGATCGAAATTCTTTTTCATTTATTCGTTCTCATGGAACTTGTGAATCTTAGTTTTTATATGAAAAAATATAGATTCTTTTACTTTACTTGTGATTCAAGTGATAAATGTATTTCGTTCTCGAAAAGTAACAATGTGAATTAGTCATCTAATTGGAATTTTCAATAGAAAAAAAATAGAAGAATAGATCCAATTGTCTTGCTGTTACAAAAAAGATAACTATTTCAACTACAAGTATTTTGATATTGATGTGGTAAAAATGTAACTGTGAAAAGTGGGTTAGAAAAGTAGTCCATTTTCTATTTACATATAGCATATCATTTTCTTGTTTAATGACAGTTGCCTAACAATATTATGTTTCCTTCTGTTATTTTCAGATACAACCAGCTTCAACAGAAGTTACAATATCTAATTACACTTTGCAATGGCAGTTAGGTAGTCTTAATTGTTTGCTCAGGACTTTCGTCAACTTTGAGCACATTTCTGTCAAGCTGAAAATGTAAAGAAACAGATATAATGAAAACACAGAAAAAGGCAGTGGTTGCCCGGAAGGCAACCAAAATGCCAACAATTGCTAAAAAACGTCGCACATTTTTAGAGAAAACAGTTTCTGATGTGAGAAAAGATAAAAAGCCTAAAAAGGTTGAGACAATGGAGGATGCAAAAAGGAAGATAGAGAATGATAAGAAGAAATCAGAGAAGGTTGAAGACAAGAAGAAGATAGAAGATAAGAAGAAAATGGAAGAGAAACGGAAAGAGAAATCTGAAAAAGTGGATGAAAAAAAGAAGTGTATTAAAGATCCAGAAAGAAAGTGGGAGAAAGTAGAAGAAAAAAAATTAGACAAGGCGGATGAAAAAATCACCGACGAGTGTACTTATGATGTAACAGAGAAGAAAAAAGTACAAAAAATAGAAGAGAAAATGAAATTGGATAAGCAATTGATAGAAAGCAAGAAAAAAGTTGAAAAGGTGGAAGACAAAAAGAAAAGTGTCAGACTTGAGGATGAGAGAATAGAAGATCAACCAAAACTTTTGAATGTTACAGAAGAGACTAATGTGCATGAAGAAAAGTTAGATATTCTGTGTTCCATTCCTAAGAAGAAATGCAAAGATGACAAAAAGAAGGATGGCAAACTAGTTAAGCCAGACTGCAAGGAAAATATAAAGATTTCTGTGATAAAAGACAAAAAGTCAGAACGTAAAAAGCTTCTTGAAAAAGGTACAATAAGTAGTAAAGGTTCTATAACACGAACGAAAAAGTCTTCTAAGACAAAATCGATGCAAAAGAAAGGTATTTCTAGAAAGACTGTCTTAACAAAAAAGTCACATCTATCAGTGGTCCAGAAACTGGTGGATAAGAAAATTAAATTGAACAAGGTGATAAAAGACGAGGAAACATCAGTGAGTGAAGAGGATGAAGCAATGAAGAAAACAAAAAAGAAGAATGTTAATATTTCTAAAAATAAAGTTATGCAAGAGAAGAAACCAAAGTTAAGAAAGCATATGAAAGCTAAGTTGCCTTCGAAAAATAGTAAAATAAGCACTGCATTAAAAAAAGATGATAAGCTTAAAACATTGGTAGAGAAAGTTGTACCTAGTAAAAAGAAAATGGATATAAAGGAAACGGAAAAACCGCTGAATGAGCACAAAAAAACTATAAGTAAAGATGACTCGAACGAGGAAGCACAAACAAACAATGTAAAGAGTGAAGAAGAGGAAGACAAAGATATTGATAAAAGTTGTAAAGAAGAACTATCACAGTCAAAAACGTTGGATATTAAAAAATCTATAAAAAATAATTTAAAAGTAGGTAAGAAGGTGATAAAGAAGAAGGCTATAAAAGCACAAACGGAGAACACAAATCAAACACTCTCTTCCTCTGAAGAAACATTTTCTGAGATATCTGTTAAACAGATTAAAGTTTGTGAAGATAGTCCAAGCGATGGTATTCCTTCTAAGCAAGAAGAAGTCAACAATGAAAGTGTAACTGATGCAAATCTGAAAGAAGAAATTGTTAATGGTGACACTTCGGGTGGCAATGGTTTTTCTTCAGATTCAGAAAATGAAAGTGACGACGAGACGAAGAAAAACAAACAGAAGGACATTAAGAAAAAAGAAAGATGTAATTCACCATCTGATGAACGTGTTCGACGAATGAGATTGTTTGGTTTCTGGAGTGGACCAAAACGACATAGGGTGGCTTCATTAAATGCATTGGCTAAGGTTCATTGTTTATATGAAAATGAAACTGGTGGTGTATACCTTGGGGGTTTCTGTAAACCAAAACCTGAAAAGGAGAAGGAGAAACAGAAGAAAACTAAAGAAGAAAAAGAAGAACCTCCTCGCAAGGAAAAGGACAAGGAAAAAGAAAAGGAAAAGGAAAAGGAAAAGGAAAAGGAAAAGGAAAAGGAAAAGGAAAAGGAAAAGAAAGCGGAAAGTAAAGGTGAAGAAAATACTTCGAAAAGGAAATTGAGAAATGTCCCAGGATTACGGGGGAAGCATTGGGATATGATAGAAAGTTCTTCATCTTCGTCTTCTTCTGATGAGGATTGCGAACAAGAAAAAAATGTAGAATGCACTAAGAAAAAAACAATCAAGCGACGGAAAAGGAATGAAGAAGTAATGGATTTGAAAGATATGGTAGTTTGCAAACGAATGGCAAGCCTTAATGCTACAGCAATTCTGGCTGCTTCTTATTCAGACGAGAAAAATCGTTGTAGTAGCAGTTCCGATTCTTCCAGTGAGTCAGAGGTAGAAATCATTAAAAGACGAAAGCAAAATGATTCTGATGTCGAGAAGCGGAAGTCAAGACAAAATTCTGAACAGGATGAAGTCTTAAAACCATCTAATAAACTTCTTATTGTGAATCAAGATACAGATGTCACTATTACTGGTACTATACTAAACTATGTTAGTTACATATGTATCTTCGTTTACGTTTATAATTTATTACCATCAAAATTTTGTTTGAAGGTGTATATGTTAATCAAACTCGATCCACGCATCATGAAGGATTCTGTAGCATTGCTGGTATGCAATATAGAATAAGTTCAACCAGTCATACTCAAACAGCAGCTACTGCAGTGGCTACTGAACTTCATGATCAGGTTAGTTTTTATTATTGGTCTAACGGGAACTCGAATATATTCATAATCAATGAAAAATTATGTTTATTATTATCAATCGATAAAAATTAATTTTTTTCATAATAGCAAAAATTGGAGCAACCTTGCAAATCGTATACACCGTTAGGTGCATTATCTTCGATGCAACCGCCAGGGAGTCAAGGGAATCATCCGAACATGTCGCCTAGAAGACATTCAGCATTCTCAGCACCACATCAACATGGTAAATTAATTATAATATGCAACCTAAAGATAGCATGAACTAGAATGAAGATACAAAGATTTTCATGTTATTATTAGGGTATTATCAGCCGGCTGGACCACTGATACAACACCCACCAACTTTACCACCTATTAAAGGACCACCTCCAGAACCAACGCCTACACCTCCTCAAAATTCTGAAGGCTCAGATGATTTAGTAGCAACTTCAACTACTTCTGGAGGAACTAGTAGTACAGGTGTGACAAAATAATATTTTATATTTTAATTAACTTCGAATTTACTTACACATACATGAATTACACATATTATGAATTGTAAGTCCGTTTTTGAAGATGTTTCCACTTGATTGTCGAATTAAAAACGACAGAAACTCTGATCCAGAATAATCGTAATATGATTAAAAGATGTTGTAATGCAGTGATTTAAATGAAGGATTTAATAACGTATTTCAGGGGGTGGATTTTATAGGGCATATTGTCCCCAATATTATGGTACACCACCGCAGTATGCAGACTTGTGTTATCCTTCGGCTTATTCTCATCCGCATGCTCATCCGCCGCCTTACTATAAATACACACCAACTTATAGAAGGTAAAACAAATATATTATTATTGTTTATACAATCACGAAAAATGATAGTAATAAACATTTTTTTTATTTTTAACTTGCCTTAAAACAGGTATATTTTCAGGCAATATTATGGATACCAGGAATCCAGTGGAGGTGGTGGTCCTGGAAGTGGTCCTACTGCAGGAGGCCCGGCAGTAGTTGATTACCAACCACCTCCACCACCACCTGGTGAATATGCTTTGCCACCGTATTATGCAGGATACCCACCACCTCCACCACCGCCTCCGCCTCCACCTAATCCAGCGTATTTGCATTCTCAAGGAAGACCTTTTGTAGATCGTAAGTGTGCAAATTGTCTACTTCATATTTTATCTATCAGTATGTGGCGGCACGTGCGCGAGCACGTTGCCACACACGACGCGCCGTCGGGTCGACGTATCGGCGAACATGTCAATCCACACCGCGATAAGGTGCGTTTCGATTGCTCGGGCGAAAGTTCTCGGAACGGCGAGGACCGTCGTCTGTATACATTATCGAATAATCGAGAACGTTCTCGTTTGACGCAACAAACGACGGCCTTATTCGAGATCTCTTCTGAAGACACGAAAAGTTAGTCCGAACCAGCAGTTGCACGAACAACACCTAGGACCGCGAGAGTTGCATGATCATCGTTAATAAAGAATTCGTCCTAAACAATCTGTGACTCTAAGTCATTTTACTCTTCCGTTATCCACAGGTATACTCGTTATGTATGAAATAGTTCTGTTATTACTATAATTTCTGTTACAATTTATTTTACAAAGTATATCACGGTCATAGTGTCAGTGATAAGATTTCGTAAATAATAACTTCTGAAGAAATATGTAATCATTTGTTGTAGATGCAGCCTTCCAGGGTTGCCCATGCCCGATGCAATCTTGTCCAAAAAACGTGGATACTGGGCCCCTTATTGGTAATGGTAAGGGAGCGCCAGTGGTATCGGGGACCGGTCTGTCATTGCCGCCCAGCGCTTTGGTAGGTCCGCCCTCGCCGGCGAGGGGGCTAGCCGGGCTAGCACCGCCTCACGGTGCTAACGCTTGGGATACGGATCGAGTCCAACTTAACACTCATCGCAACCTGAATCAGAACCAACCGTCGGTCCCTCCGTCTCATAATCTAGTCGATGGACATAATCGCCCTCAAAACTCGGATTGCAAAGACAAGGTTTGCATTATTTTCTTTAATTTTTAATAAGCTATTAAAAAAATTAAAAATCCTCCGGTACTATACTGTATTCCACAAAATCAGCACTTTCGTTATACGGTTTCGCTTCAGTTTTACATGTGCTATGAAGTAGACATTCATCTAATGACCGTTAAATGTTTCAATGACTCTTTTAGGACGAGAAGAATTCTACGGAAGATAAGTTGCAAAAATGTGGATGTCAGCAACGTGCCTGTACATCAACGTGTGAAGTTAAAATGGAAAACCTTTCGCCTACCGAGAAACTAGCAGTGTCGACTTGTCCGAGTAATAAGTTTCACACATTTAAATTGGAGAATAACAATGTGAAGTGTGAATCCTGTAGTGTAGAGATGGGTGACAACTTGACCTGTGTCGCAAATTGTAACGTTAAGTGTGAATCGGATTACAAGTGCGATATAATGAAATGTGAACAATGTATGAAGGAGGATCAAATGGCTATACTGGAAATTGACAAGGATTCCGGTATATTACTTGACGACAAATTGGATGGGGATCCCGACGTTAAGGAGGAGTTGAACGATGTTGTTGTGATTGGGAGTGAAAATTGGAAGAAACCGGACTACGAACCAACGGTACAAGAGAACATTGAAGATCCTATAGAGAAGGAATCTATAGATGGGCCGGAAGCGGAACAACCTAAGTGTCAAAGAGTATCAAAGCGGAAATTATCTTTAGATAGTTTGTCTGATAGTAGAAAAAAAAGAAAAGTGAGTAAAAGGACTCTTTCAGTTGGCTCTTCGCAAGATTTGAATAATAGTGACTTTTCGTCTAGAATTTCTGTACCGATCTTATCTCTCATTAGAAAGGTCGATGTTAGCAATGACGCGTGTATTTCAAAGAAAAAGCAGCCTAAGAAAGATAATCAAACACAAAAGCGAAGATTAGAGAATTCAGTATCTTGTGAAAATGCAATAAAAAAGTCTAAGACTTCTAAGCAGAGTACAAGTAACAATATTCCAAATTGTTTCAAACATGTTGCCAGTGATAACTCTATTATGGAAACTATTAATAATGTTATACAGCAAAGTTTGCAGATGACACAGAAAAAAGATCGTAAGAGTAAAAATATAGAAAAATCTGAGAAAACGAAAAAAGAAGCAAACTTGCTGTCCGTAGTGAAAAAGGTAGCTAAGAAAGTTGATTTAGTAAAAGATATGGCGTCAGAGAAGTTATCGAAAGTAATTTCAAAAAGTGGTCAGTCTAGAAGTAAGACGGACACACGTGCGAAGTCGAAGGCTCACGATAAGAGTAAATGTAAAGTAAAAGGTAAATCGAAAGTGCACGATACAAACGGAAAAGATAATGGTAAAAAGCACGAGAGTATAACTAAATCTAAAGTGAAGGATGTTAATGAGACTATTAAAAAGCCAGCTTTAATTAAAAAGAAACGGAAAAGTGCGAAGAAAACGTCTGTAAAAAAATCTGCCACCAAAGTCGAGGAATGTGTAGTAGGAAGTGAAAATCTACTGCTAACTAGGAAAACATTTTTAAAGCCGAAGTGGAGTAACGGATGGAACTGGGAGGGCGATCCTTTTGAAGCCAAAGTTTATTTAACGGTAGGAGCATATCTATTGCATATTTCCTATACTTAGATTAAAGTCAAAAAGCTTTTCAATGTCACAAGAAGTTACTCTTTTTCCATGTTCCTTAGTCATCGAGTCGCAAATTGTCATGAAATGAAAAGTTAAACCGTGGATAAGTGGCCTTGAATAACTAATTGAGTTTGATACAGTTACAGCATGAATACTACTAAGTAGGTTCAATTGTTTATTCCCTTATTATTTCCAGAACGAAGAATCGGCTATACGTCGATGTTACGCGAGTATGAGACACGAAAGTGGTGACGTATTAAGACCGCGCGACTGCGTTTTACTAAAGAGTGGTCCACGGAAAGCTGATTTGCCATTTGTAGCAAAAATTGCCGCGTTATGGGAAAATCCAGACGATGGTATATTTTCATTTGTAATGCTTTATAACAGTGCTGTCTATAAATGGAGTAAATTGATGAAATTTCTAGTTGTGTAGAAGTGTTTCAATAGCAAATAAAATATAAAAAAAATGAAACATATGAAACATAAATACACTTTATTGTTAAAAATTAATAAAAATGATATTTCTCTTGCAACACGCTGTGTTGTATCAGTCAGGCATACTACTGTAGTAACAAGGGACAGTCCTGAAGTGACAATAACAAGTTTTTACTGAATTTGACACGTAGATAAAATATAAACATAAATTGATTGCCCACTTTAAAAGGTTTAAAACACAGGGGGTCAATATGCTAGAAGATTAGTACATTAATAATAAGAAAAAAAACTTTGTACTATCATAATATTTTGCAATGTTGGATTTGATTAAAATTGGTGATTTGCGCATCAGGACTTTCCTCTTTTGTAAGAGGAACAAAGTGATGAAAGGCATCCAACGCACAGAGCTTATAATGGATGGCACTGCTCTATACTGTTAAAAGAATTCCAGTAGGATAAAAACAGACTTCTTGTTGTAGGTGAAATGATGTTTTCGTTGTTGTGGTACTACAGACCAGAACATACCGAGCAAGGTAGGACTCAATACGACACCGAAGACGAAGTTTTCGCTTCACGGCATCGGGATGCAAACAGTGTCGCTTGTATAGAAGATAAATGTTATATTTTGACATTCAATGAATACTGTCGGTGAGTTAGCTATTTTCGAAAAATTAACTTATACCGTTTAGTCACGTGATGTGAATTAATATTCTTGATAAACATTTGAACACTTTCTTACCAGAGTAAAAAAACCTTTGAAATTCATTGAAATATCTCGTATGAAAACAATTGAAAATTATAGAATAAAATTTTCGCATGCAGTCTCCTATTCGGGATGATCAAATTTGAAATACTCAAGTTTCGCGCTTCAGAATACAACTGACTAATGTGTCTGACTATTACCAGTTGTTTCTACTTGTAATATACAGACATGGGTACGGTATGATTTGTTTTGCATCGATCCCACATTATGGTCTGTCGATCTATATCGAATCATTCTAGAAAATGGGAATATCATACTACTGGTCAATCTTCAGAAATATTAGCACAAATCGAAACCATCAGTAACGAATAGGGTTGTTAATGCCTCGACAATTATTGCGGACTGTTGCTGCCAGTATTCTGTATGTGAAATATTAATACAATTTCCAGGTACCGTAAAAATTTACGAAGAATCGAAGAGGGATTAGAGAGTCCCGGTTTGATAGTTCCGCCGGGGGATCAACTATATCCGCGTGAATCACGACAGCCGCCGATACCGGTGTCCTCCGATATGGTACTGTTTTGTCGGCGCGTTTACGATTATCGCGGCAAAAAACTTGTTAAGAATCCTGGATGACTCGACTTTTTATAAAACGCTTTGAACAGGAACCAATGGAATGCACAAAGTTTGCAGTATAAATTGAAACTGGACGTAGGTCTCCCTTCAAGCGTAACTGCACGTTAATCAATTTACTTTTTAATCCGAGAGATTGATAAAAGTCTACGTTGATTCTTTTTCTTTTTTGTGAATGAATTTTAGAGCTTTATATACATATATATATATACATATATATAGATAAGTACAGAAACTTTTTATAGACTTAGGTTTAGTTTTTCTCATGATAATCGATTACGGCAGAACTTACACAGTTTTCCTACTTACACGGTTGCGTTTTACTTTATGCGTACAGTTCTACAGGACACGTACCGTTTAGTCCTACGTTTAAAGAGAACGAAAACAAACAAAAATAGTAGATTTATAGAATATATAGCCTCGACGAAAGTCGTGTTTTCAAATTCGTTAAAATTTAACGATACAAAAAGAGGAAAGAAAGAGGAACGATGAGAATATTGTTTTAAACTCATAATCTTATAAGATAGATACCGCTTCTTTACCCATTTTCTACGTTTCTAACTTCCGATGTAAGAAAGGTTTTAACGAATCGTTTAATTAACTCGGATGGTTAAACATCACGAAACTCATATCTCCGAATCAATGCAATGAGGATATAGCATAAAGAAAGAAAAAGAAATGAAAAAGTATGTAGGACACGCTTCGTAGCACCGGGAAAACGTGATCGAGAATTCGTCAGTTTTTGTCGACGGGATTCTTGGCGAATGATGAACCTTTCCAGACCGAGCCCGATAATATTCGTCTGAATGGAGAAAAAGCAAAACGGCACGATCACTACGGGTTGTTTTATCGCGAGCGCAACACGTTTTTAGGGAGATAATAGAATTTGACAATTTTATAGAGAGAAAAACAAATCATATTTTTCGTGAGATAGTATTTATAACACTTAAATGAATATTTTTCACATTGGAGATACAAATACGTATATGCTATGTATCATGGCGCCCTTCTTGGAGGGGACCTCCGAACAGTTTCAAGGTAGAAAAAGAAAAATCAAACGCCTGGGGTACTTGACCATTTAGCGAAAATAGTTTTACCGTGTGCGATGTGTTCTTCGGACAGGATGCTGAGAGCGAGATGAATTCAGTTCTGGTACGAGGAATAAATGAACACTTCCATTGTCTTGCGGTGGTTCACGAGACCCAATGCACATGCAGTTATTTTAATAACGCGTAATTAAACGTAAGTTTCATTTCTAATAACGACCGTCGATGGCGGAGTGTCGCGAAATGGAATTGACTCGACGGAAATTTCGTTGGTACAGTATGCTTCGGGTGCTCGAAAGACTTTTTTTGAAAATCATGAGAATTCTGTGGTAGAATTAATGAAGGAATCGACTTGTCTGATGAGAGAGAAGTTTCGAGATCGAATTTGCTGATTTCTGAATCTTTTTGTTAAAAGTAATATGTTACATTGACAAATGTAATACCGAAGAAAAAATATCGAATATTATTTACATACAAATTCATTTCGTGATTCGGTCAGTCTTAGGATCAGCGGTTCATTCGATCAAATTACTAATTACAAAAAATATAGATTTTTATGTTACGCTTGATTTTATTTTAGTTAGTGCTGTTTACACATGGGAACCTTTATGCTGTTGCATGTATCCCTGTGCACGATACTTAACAAACAGGCTCAAAGAACATCTTCAGGTTTGTGTTTGTCATCAGTTCTTGGGTTCAGTTTTTCATACCTTCTTCGCAGTCTAAAGTTCTCAATAAGTACGTTATTATTAAGACTTTTTTTGCTTAGAGAATTTTCTTTTTCGCAATACGCTGTCAAATGTGCAGCAGCCAAAATAATTTTCATTAAAATGTTGCCTGTTAGTCATAGACATTTGGTACCGTCAAATATACATTGAGCAGCACCGATCTGCTTTATTAACTTTCCAAGTTTGACAAGACTTTCGGGTAACACAAGTGCCGTGAAATCTAAAATGAAAATTTTCAAAGCGGCTCCGGACCAAAGTCATTCCTTTCATTGATTCTACTAAAACTCGAAGTAAGCCGAATTGCTGTAACACGGAATGTATTTACAAATTTTTTTTGTTGTAAATCAATTAACGTCAATTTAAACCCTTTACGCTTCGAAGTAAAGTCAGATGTTACCGAGTACGTTTGGAATCATTGAAAGAAACGCGATTCGATTTATTTATAAACGATTATTTACGATTTATTGCATAGGGCCGCAATCCTATTTTCTTGATTCTTTTTTTTTTTTTAATGAATTCATCCCGAATGAATTTTTCTTATCGCGACATAGGAATCTGAGTGATTCGGCGCTTTTTCTTTTTTACGTAGTATTTACGTTCTAACCCGTCACACTTTGTATATCTCTTTGTAACGACCGTTTTAATCGCTTTATTTAACTTCTCGAGAATCACGATCTCTAGTTTCGTTAGAGAGCAATGTGGTTGTATGATAATCCCTTGTGTCGTCATCATTTCGAGTCACATATTATTCATTAGCGCATAGTTAATGTATCGCATCGTAGCATGCCAAAAGATAAAGGAAGGAAAAGAAAAGAAAAAACGTATTCGTGAAATCACGAAGGAGACCTTACGTTAGCGAATAATATAATTGTATTACACGAAGAATTTACGATAACGAGTAGAGACCCTTAGGACGTAATTATTTTTACGGGAATTCCAAATAAGAATAACGTCGGCGTATATTTTTGATTATTTGTTGAGTGGCGGGTGTTTTGTTAGAAATTATATTATTTAAAATTAATATATTGATGATACGATTATTATTTAATATCTAATATATTGGACATAGATGCTAAGTTATTTCCGATAGAACCGAGATATTATGTGTAGTATAGATAGGGGAGAAAACAAGAGGGGAGGAGCGCCCGTGATTGTTCCTGTCTTTCTCTCTGTGTATGCGTGTGTGCGATGCGAAAAAAAAGAATAAGTAAAACGGAAAGACGTTGACAAAAAAACAAGGAACCGGACGATTAAAAAAATACAGAACAAAAAGAAAGGAGCGATAGTGGAGGAATATGTGAAATAAACAACACGGAATACGTTTAAAGGGGGACAAGAAGGAGGATATCGAAAAGCACTTTTTTTTTCCTTGTCATTTTTCAAAATGCTTTCTTTGCGATTTAATATATACATATATATTTTATATTTATTAATTTATATAACGGTCGATGATATACGAACAACATGTCTCTTGTAAGAAATCTTGTTAAGTATTTATCTATGTGCGTGTAACGTAATGGGAGAGAGGATCGCGTGTGAGAGCATCCGTCGTGCGCCGCCGCGCGTAATTCGAAACAAGAAAAGAGACAAAAAATGATAAGAACCGTACGACGTCTCTGTCCTTTGTATCTTGCGTGTGGATCGGTGCAACCGATCGAGCCTAAATAGAAATCGAATCGTATCGAATCGAATGAAATCGAATAGAATCGAAAGAAGAGATACACAAGAGGTATACGCGCGAGCACACGCAGATCCCGTCACACATACACACACACACACACACACATATACACCAACATCGCGACCTTTTACAAAATAGTTTTATATTCGTTTTTATCGCGTAGGTGGGATCGCATCGCGTGTGCGACCTTACAAAGCGCCGATGCATTTTATCGACGGTGAACGAAGCGATTGTTCACGGTACCGTGTAGATGATCGTGTGATTCGCATTTTTCTGTGTAATTCTTTGAGCGTTCTCAGCGGGTGAAGGGAGGCGAGAAACGAGGGAGATACTGCCTCTCTTCGCGGCGAACGAAACGAAATTCCGGGACACATTTCTAACGATGGTTAATATGGGAACATTGCACAAAAAAAAAGAACATTGCATATCCTCTGTTCATTCTATGTGACGGATGAAATTTCATCGAGCGTATTCGGAAATTTAACGGTTTAAGGCTGTAGACCGTGCTAGGCGCGAGAAAGACGTTCATCATGGTTCTCGGATGTGAATATCGATCTCGAAATACTAGACGAGTTTTTTTCTTGGTATTCTTTTCAACGAGTGGACAGAAAGTTTTGTGATGAGGTTACACGTCACGGATGAATAACCATTTACAGTCAATTTAAAGAGGTTATACTTAGTAATCCTTTGCACTCGAGTGTCCTCCCTGGAGAGACAAAACGTACGGGGGGGATTCGAAAATTCCGAATGCAGAGGGTTAATTTATTATAGTTAATTGTACATCTGTATGTTAATAGTGGCAGTCACGAATAGAATCCTTGAACATAACAACTTACTCAGATGATATCTAGAAGGCCAAGTGTCTTTTATCTCAGAAGAACCTTTCTGTAATGGCCTTCCGATGGTCTGCGGTATACCAAGAAGCTTCTTGGCATACCAGTAATTGTCTGTTACCACGAATATTGTGATTTGAATGTTTCTAAAGGATTTTATTACAGAACTTCGGCATTTAAATGTTTAACCCTGCTGTTCTCCCCGGGTCTGTATTACCCGAAATGAAAATTATATTTCACTAGATGTTATATTTTTAAATATTTGTTTTCAGTATTCAGTGTATTTAAATTTTTCGCCTACTTTCCATGTATTGCCAATTTCTTGAGAACAGATTATTTTTCAAAATTTGAAATAAGTTTATTCGCAAAGATACAAACGTGAAGAATAAATGAAGCGAACAGCAGGGTTAAACGATATTGGTCCAACTTTACGTGACATTCACGGTGTTTCTGTTAAACACACGTGACTATCATTCAGAGATGGAGCTATTATGGGAATTATTCGAAAGCTTCATCCCTACTTTCAATTAGTAAGGTCTAACGGACATGAAAAAATGATAAAAATTCAAGTCATAAGATCACCAATCAAGATCATCTGGAAACAAACAACTCATTCTCTTTACCCGGTAGAATATCTGGAAGTAAAAAAATCTTAATTGAAAATCTCCATTGAACCAGATACATACTCGGATACGTATCTGAGAGCTCCGAGGAACGTCTTTCTCGCGTTGTTGTGCTAATC